CCCACCACAAGCTGTCATTATTTAGAGCTACCCACAGTAGCTCCAAGATCTCTTTCCAGAGTAGATCTAAAACACTGATTTGATTTTTGAATGGGTATTTCCCCATGCACCTTCCAATTGAATTTCATCTGACATAGTATTGTTTACCCAGTCAATGTCATGAAATACTTCTATATTTCACCTTCAATTTTTTGTTTTTAATACTTTCTAATCAACAACCTTTTTCATCTCACTGTTGATCCATTCCTTCAGATGACTAAGTATATTGGGCAGCACACATTCTGGCACAGATTCTTGGGGAACTTACCTGGGACAACTCTCCATTGTGAAAGCCTGACCATTTATTCCTGCCTTTTATTACTTACGAATTAACCCGCTATTAATCTGTGAGTCAACGACCTCTTTTATTCTCTTGCACATAGTTCCTTTAAGTGCATGTATTATGCAAAGGAGCTCATGAAGTTTTCAAATAAGAATAGTACATTACAGGAAATGTATCCCCCCTCTTTAAAGTCTTTTTCAATAGTACAGTGTATGTTTACTCTGAATCTATAATATAGTATCTTTAAACAATCTTCTTTCTATCTGAAAACATTTTATCCTTTTGGCTGCTAGTTTTAATTTATCTTTAAAACTTCATCATTTTAACATAATTCAGCCTTTGAAAATAAAAGCACTACCACAGAGATTTTCTGCAGCCTTTTAAATTCCTTTAAGGATGTTGAACTTGTGTACATTATGGTCACTGTCGTTAACCAATACAGAGTAATTTTTCAGTAAAGACATTTTGAATCACAGCCTGCACACTGCTCAGGGCCAAGTCAAATGGTGCTTTGTCCTTTTGGGATTCTTTGACTATCTGTTCCAAGAACAGTCAGTAAATTTGTTAAGAACAGCCTTGGGTCACAACATGGTGGGGCAATTGAAATTCCCATATTTCTGAAGTTTTCTGCCCTCACAGTCTGTCACATATTACCAATGAAGTTTAGTCATTCCAGGTACTGTCACCATTTTGGATAGCTTTAGTCCAGTATTTTTCCTGTGTAGGCATGAAATTGCTTGTGATACAATTAACTCCTAGCTTTCTTTAACATGTATCACTGCTTCTTCATCCACGGCACTCCTTTGTCATTGCAACATTAAGTTGTACCCAGGGATGATGGTAAGAAAACGAAAATCCTTGAAAGTGTGCCAGATCAAAGCTGCTGCAATTTTTAGTGTGGATTAGATAGATAAGGACTGGTCCTCAATTTAGCATTAGATAACTAGTTACACTTTGTTTCTGTTTTTTTCAGAGGAAAATCTCCAAGTCTTTTGAGATTTATTGTTCTAATGTCATAACATTCAAGCTGCTTGGTTCCTAAGCAGTGTGTTGTAAACAGCCTGAAGTGAATTTATTTTTTTGTTTGGCTTTTTTTTCTTTTCTTTTTTTTTTGGTAAACAATATGGGTGAGATAATAACATGCCTGTGTGGCTGGATATGCTGGAAATATGCAACCTGTAATCCTCCCCTTTCCCTTTTTCAGACACAAAGGATGCAGGGGCCAGTGTACCCTGTCCATATGGTTATGGAAATTGGAGAGCTGGTTATGGCTGTAAACAAAATGTCAGTAACATTATTCACCATCCATTATAAATCCAAAGTAAAAAAGCTGAACAAAGTTTTGCTTGGTATGGATGATTTATGTGCAAGTTCTTTGTAGATAATGCCTGAAGTTTGATAGGGATGAATAATGCAGATGAGAATTTCATGCCTGCAAAGTTTGTGTTTCTATTGCTGCATTATAAACACACTGTTGTTTCTGATTAGGTTAGAATCAAAACCTAAATAGCTCCTGCTTTGAGCAGGGATGTTTAAATTGCCCTATCCAGAATATTTATTTTCATGCATCAAACAACTGAAAAAAACCAAGGTTGAGATTTTTCATAAGTTCTCAATGTTGGATAAGCTCAGCTCAATACCAGAGTCAATGCTGAAACCTCAATTATTTTCAATAACAGTGCACTAACTATTACCATGTTGAAAAACAAACCTCAGAAGCCTTTTCCTCATGGGAAAATTGTGAAATACACTTGTACATAAGTGCCAAATGCAGACTTAGTGTTTGTAGGGTCACCATTTGTTGTTTAAAGCAAACTGTTCTTATTTACATAACAGCTGAACTTCGTCCAAGTGTCTCATTAAATATGGCTGTTTTCAGTTAAGTGACCAGGTTGTTGAGAAGTGATATTATTCATTTATGACACTAGCTATGTGAAAGCTTTATACAAAAGTGTTTTAAACAAATGAACACAAGTGTTAATAAATGTCAGAAAGTCATTTATTAAAAATTACTCCAACGATAAAGAGAATCCTGCTGTTAATCATTACATTTAAATAGGATTTGTTTGTTCTTTTTGTTGCATAACTTAAAACCAGTTAGACTGGGTATATGGAGATGTTAATTTTAAGTTGCCAGATTGTGTACTTTCAGTAGGGATTTAAGAGAAAATAGAGGAAGGAGAGAGCAGTTCTTCCATCCCCCTGCTCTGCCCATACCAGCATCACTCAAACCATTCCCGTTAGCTACTTGTCTAAAAACCTTCGAGGCTGGAGGTTGCACAGCCTCCGCAGGGCTGTCTGTTCCGCTAATTATATATCCTTACTGTTCGACTCGGTTTCCCTGTCTGATGTGCCTCTGACGTTTCAGCTGCTCAGGGCCGTGCGAACAGCCACACTGAGTTAGGTTCATCATCCCAGTTGTCTTCTGCCGTATTGCAACAGTGGCTGACTCCAGATGCTTCAGAAGACAGCGAGGTAGAAGATGTGGAGATCCAAGATGATTTGCTGTTCGGGATTATCTGATACATAAATAAGGGCACCATAGACCCTAATGCATGAAATGTAATCTCTCTTCCAGAATCTATTAGCATTGAAAATTGAATTTGAGCAGCCTGATCTAGTGGTAGATGTCTCTACCCATGGCAGGGAGGTTGGAACTAGGGGATTGTTAAGGTCCCTTCCAACCCAAACCCTTCTATGATTCTATGAATATTCTTGCTAGCTTTATACACTTTTCGCTATGCTATTTTTTTCCCTGTTACCACTCTGTGGCAATGAGTATCATGGTTTGTTTATGCATTATATGACAAATTACTCCCTTAATTTAAGACTTAAATTTCTTGTCTTTCAGTTTCATTCACTGTCCCCTGTCTTGTGTGTTAGGCAATACAAAGAACAAAAGCTCTCAATGTGTCTTCTCTGGAGTATTCATTATTTTTTGGGTTATATCCTTTCTTGCTGATGTTCTTTTAGAGATGAACAATCAGTTTCTTTTCAGTTCTTCTCAAATGACATTTTCCTCATCCTTCCCAGAAGCCCTAGTAACTTTGCAATACTTTTTTTTGAGATGGTGCCACTATTATTGCACACAGTATTTGAAGGAAACCCACAATGCTGCTTATTTATACAATGGAATTCTAATAATTTCCCTGCTGTTTTTCATTGCAATTCATATTCATGTTAGCAACTTGTTTACTTTTTTTTTTTTTTTTGACTGCAGCCACACTTGGAATTGAAATGATAATTGAGTTATTTTGCTTTAAACTGAATGTGCTTGAGGTGAATTGGAGGTTTCATTTCCATTGTTGAACCCAAAGCTGAGTGTTTTATTAAGTTTTTATGCTGATGGTGAAAGATACGTTCATGACCACATTGCTTATTTTGTCCTGTTCTGATCTGTTGGACAGTTAAATATCACGATGGTACTTTTTAATGAACTCTCATTAAGAGCTTGGGCCAGACTGTTGTGAAATTGTATGTGGAATTGAACTCTTCTTGTTTTATCGCATATAGCTGTTTACTTCATGCCCTTCAAAGGTTTTTTCCCAGATAACTTTTCTCCATGTGGACAGCTGAAAAAGCTAAATAAAGACTATTCAAGAAGGCGGCAGTGCATGCTGCTAGATTTCCCTTGCAAAATAATTGTGTGTATCTTGATGAAATAGGCCTTTAAAGGTACTCTTGAATTCTTTGAGATATGATTGTTTTGAAGTCATTTACCTTTGTTCACTGGAGACGTTAGGTTTTTTTCTTTATTTTCTATGGTAGACACAAGGACTACCGATGTCACTGCAACTTGAATAATTAAAATATTCTAGTTTGCACACCCTAATGAAGGATACAACTTAAAGCATGGTGTGCTTGCTTGAATGAGCTTACAGGTCAGACGTCACCTTTCACATTAACTTCTCAGCAAGTGAACTCAAATGTGCTAGACAGACCCAGCAAAAGGTTTTGAAAACAAAATTCTGCAGCTTTTCTTGTTTAACGGCACAGGTCTGAAGAACGGTTGCCACAAACTAATGCTCTTTAGGGAGCTGAGAATTATTTTTGTTTCCTGTGATTTCTTCATTCTAACTACCTTACTCAATAGCACTCACTTAGAAAACTCAAAATATCATGTTTTAAAAGTTGATGTGACTTGAAAAATACTTTTTGTGAATTTGTAAGTTATTTCTCCCTGTTCTGGTGAAGCGCAAATTAATTTTCAGCTGAAGGCTTTAATGGCCAGGGATCATTTATATTGACTGCCGCAAGAACATTTTTGTTAATTGAATGTCGTCTAAGAGCATTACATGACATGTTTTCACAGACATTGATGAATGTGGAACTGGAAGGCATAGCTGTGCCAATGACACTGTTTGCTTTAACTTGGATGGTGGGTACGACTGTCGATGTCCCCATGGCAAGAACTGCACAGGAGACTGTATCCATGAAGACAAAATCAAGCACAATGGACAGATTTGGGTGCTGGAGAATGACAGATGCTCTGTCTGCTCATGCCAGGTCAGTAGAAACAGAACTAACTGCATCTGCGAGATGGTGGTAGGGATGAAGGGAAGAGTGTCGTGATTCAGGTGAAATTCCTGGTTTGGCTGTCTTCTCAGGTGTGCATGTAGTGCTACGCAAAAGTGGAATTATATATGATACAAAGTTTTGGGGAGAGCTTCTCTCTCCAATCTGCACAAGCAGAACTTCCACGGGAGGTTTATTATATGATACAGGGAGAAGGACGATAGTACTATTTTCTTAGCAGAAATGTCACCTGTGTTTTCTGGGTGGGAGTAGTGGCATTTTCATGCAAAGAAACTGTCTGTCTAGACATATATTGGCACTGGTGACTGACGCCAGTATCTCTAGCAGATGACTATAAATAGAAGTAGGTTCTGTATCTGCAGAGTAACTCTCAAATGTTTTGCTTTCTCAAATGTTTGCTGTGGGAACCTTGATCCCAAGCTAAATGCTGATGGAGAATGAAGGCCCAATACACTGCCAACAAAGTCCTGAGCATTTCAGCATCTCAGGTTTCATGGGCATGAATTTAATATCAGACTACCTATCATCTTCCTTATGTGAATAATTAAAGAAGAGAGGGACTGATTTGGAAGTTTAAAGCAAGACTTGACTAGCATCTGTCTGAGAATGACATAAACTTAATGCAATCCATTAAAATTCAACCCTTGGGAAAGACGCCCTTGTGATTCATCAGCGTAGGTGAAAGCTGGCTGAAGGTTGGTTGAACGAAGGATATATATAAGACAACAGGGGAACTTTTTTGGTAGTTACTGACTGTGTATTGTGGTTTCTGCCTCTGTTTGAACTGGATTTTGACAAAGATACCGTATAGCGGAAAAACTCATGAGCTGCTAATGGCTTAGAATCATGCAAAAAAATGAAATTTTGGTACAAGTACTGCTGGAGTTGGTGATGTTTCTGACGTTGCTCTATGCCTGTCTTCCAACAACAGAATGGCTATGTGATGTGCCGGCGAATGGTCTGTGACTGTGAAAATCCCACCGTTGACCTATTTTGCTGTCCTGAATGTGACCCAAGGCTCAGCAGTCAATGTTTACATCAGAGCGGGGAGCTTTCCTACAACAGCGGTGACTCCTGGGTACAGAACTGTCAGCAGTGTCGCTGTTTGGTAAGGCTCCTGATTACAGCAGCAGAGACAGGAGGGAAAAAGGATATGAGATATTCTGATCTGTGAATAGTTAATTTTCATGCATTAGCATCCATTTAATTTCCTCTGGAGTATGTTTATAATCAAAATCTAGTTTTCATGGATATTTGTCAGTATTGTCAAGTTCCAGTCAAAAATGCATTTTGACACAATAGACAAAATAGAAATTATTTAATCATGAAGATTATTTTAGCAAAGAGTGGAGGACATTTGGATATGGCACCTACAAAGCAACACTCGTGTTCACTCATTCAAAAAGCAATGTAGCTGTATAAGGAAATTCTATATATGTATCTATTATCGTGGTTGATAATTTCATAGATGCCAGTAGACTAAAATTTTTTTATTCATTCAGACATTCTGAGTAACACAAAAAATAATAAGACTTGATACATTTTTCAAAATAGTGAAATGAGTTTTGAAAAAAACCCAATAAACCCACCTTTTAAAGCTTGTGATCTTTTTCCTAGGCATGTATTTCAGAGTCTGAGCAAAAACTATTCTGCATAATGCTGCTCAGGAAGTTTCTGTGACAGAAAAAATCCCAAGATAAAAAGAACTAGCTTTTATCACAGGTTATCTCCAAATGTAAAGCCTAGTCCATCTAGCAGCTTTCCAATGTCAAGGTGTCATGATTAACAGCCAGAAACCAATTTCTGTAGACATTGTGCTCTCAGTGTTAGTGCTGTTAAAATCCAGTGAAATATATTCCCAGGTGCTTCATTTCATGTCTTAAAAACCAAACCAAACCAAACAACCTACAGTTTGGCATCTCAGTAGATGTTTCTTTTTTTTCAAGATGCTACTTCTATAACTAAATCCTACTTTCTTTCAGTTGTCAGGGATTTATTTTTTTTTTAGTGTCATTGTATTGTCTATTCTTTGTACTGTCCATCACTTCAAAAAATAAATTGAAATATCAAGATCAGTGACTGGTTTTAAAATTGCTTTCATTCTTACCATCATGTGATTAAAAAATAGGAAAATTGACCCAGGTGAATATTTTGTAAAAGAATAACTTCACAGTACTTTCTGCAACACGAGGAATAAATTTGGAGCTATGGCAAATCCCTGGGAATTTTTTTCAGCTTTTGCTCTGGAGATACGTAACTCTTCATTCTCAAAGCCTTAGATACAGTTTCTGTGAATGTACTTCTTTCCTAGGGACAAATGCTATTCTCTTAGCATCCAGACTTAAATCCTTAAATCCAGACTACTCAATCTGTGTTTCAAATGAGCTAAGTTGGAGGTCAGAGATGGACCTGCTCCAAAAGAAATATGCATTAATGACTTCCGTGAAGTCTTATCTTCGACCACTAGATCTGAAACTTTGGCCTTTGTCCAGAGCTGAAGGGAAGCTGACCCCAACTTCTAGTAATTGACGTGAATAATTAGACATCTTTAGATTTGTGTACAGGCATACAGTAACTTCCCCTAAGAATATTCTACCCCAGCGTAGATCTCTGCTTTGAACTTGTCATACCCTGACTGTACTGAACCCATCATGCAGAAAGTGTGATTAAGTTTGGAAGTTCAGATATTCTGATTGCGACATCCAAGATGGATGGTTAGTGGGTGGAGATCCTCTGGCTGAAAATGCGCTGGTGTTCCCTGCTGCGTTGGGCTGCTGGTAGCTTGACACCCTTAGTCCAGCCAATGCATTTGTAATGGTGGCAAAGATAAACTCTAGCCCATCCAGACCTGAGCATTTGAGGGTTTTTTGTGGCAAACCAACAGTCCAAATAGAAGTAAGAACTTGGGGAAACAGGAGATTTTGAAGCGCGTTTGCAGTTATGTTATGCTATGGCTTCTGTCACTTGCAGAAGCCGGACTTTATAAGGACACATCCCTATTCTGTATTTCATGAAGTTTGTGGAGAATTTTCAGCTGCAGCTTGATGCAGAGTGTGTTGAAATAGGTTAAATCTAATACGCTTCCTGAATAGCGTGCAGAAAAAAGCACCCGACTTGCTGTGTCTCCCACAAGCGATGAATATCAGTGCACTGACTTCTGAATAGGACCAGAAGGATAAAATTAACCAGCTAAGAAACATAATACTGGGTCAGATGAATAGGTAATGAAACAAAATAAGAACTAATAATCTTCTCTTGTTCTCGTAATATTTGTACACAGCAAGGCGAAGTTGATTGCTGGCCCTTGCCCTGCCCGGAGGTGGATTGCGAATTCAGCGTCCTCCCTGAGAATGAGTGCTGCCCACGATGTGTCACTGACCCCTGCCAAGCGGACACCATTCGCAATGACATCACTAAAACCTGTCTGGATGAAACCAGTGTTGTTCGCTTCACTGGATCTTCTTGGATTAAGCACGGCACAGAGTGCACCCTCTGCCAATGCAAGGTAAAGAGCGTAAAAATTAAGCTGAGATGCCTCTTTCCCAGCTCGTTCTGTGGCATATAAATATTAATGCGCTGACTCCGGTCAGTGGGTAGTTGGTGTCTACACTTATTTTAAAGCAGCGGAGATACCAGTAAAAGTGTTCAGCTTGATTAACTTTACTCTTGCATGTGCTAGAAGGATGGTTTAACATGCTAGCAGATGAGAAGCAGGACAACAGCCCATGCTGTAGTGTGCTGTGGATGAGTTAGTGGGCTTGGCTTTTCCACCAGGATAGCTCCATTCAAGCTTGATTGTAGTTTTTACTGTACAGCTCCGTGCTATCTTGGAAATGTATACAGTAACAAATAGGTATGTAAGACTAGACTTCACACACAGGATTTGTTCTGTGTGATACTATAGCATTATCAGAACTGATTGAATTGCTTTTTGAGAATAGTAATTCTTTTGAGAATAAAAGGACTAGTTACATGGTTACATAGGTTTCTTGCTTTAAAATTAATAGTAGAATCAACATAATGTTTAGAACATTTAATACTTTTTGTAGTCAATGGAATTCATTGTCTGAGGAGAAAAATTAATGGCTATGGGCTTATGTGAATCCTGGCATCCCTTTTTAAAGATGCAAAAGAAAAGGAGGTTAAAATAATTTTTCTATTCATAATAAGCCTGTAAGGTGAATTGTATTTTCCACCATCCAATACTGAAGAATGACAAAGGTTGTTTCCACTTCAGCCAAGGAGAGAGAGACAGCGGGATTCATCCAGAGATCTTTAATTATTACTGAAATTCAGAGTTGATTTTGGTCTTTATTCCATGTCCTTCCCAAGCAAGATACTTCGCAAACTCTAGTACATGGTACAATTAACTACTTTGAAAAGGTGCTCATGAAAAAATAATCTAACTTCAACACCTCCTCTTGGGAGAGATGGGGAGTAACTTTTCATTTAGCAGAAGCTGCCAAGCACCTTTTCCCTCTGCTTCGCCTGATGCAGTACTGTGTGCAACGGCAGTTGCTGCTGTCGAGGCATGGTCCATTCATGAGGGAAGTGGTATGTGCCAAGTAAGTGTAGGCATTTGTCTTGATGTCAGAACAGGTCGGTGGTTAGAAAAAAATGCTGTGATCTGACAGAGTGGCTAGTGGTTAGAAAGCTTGCTGCTGCCCAAAAGGACATTGAAACAGGCTTGCATGCAGAAACCCATACTTTTGGGGTCCATAGCTGGTGGCATAAACCAACGCCAATGCTAGAAGTTACTTTTTGCTTGGGCAAGTTGCTGAGGTTTGTGTGGATCAGTTTCCCCATCTGTAAAACAAACAGTTATATGTGACTCTTCGCTAAAGCACTTCTGAGATTCGGTGATGGGAAATGTGTTCTCGTTGTTGTACTGCTAATCAATGGCAATGCAGAAGCAATGTACCAGTTCTGCTGATGGCCACCTGTGGGCTGCTCCCATCTGCCCTTTTCTCTTAAGCAAAGACTGAACCTTAAGCGTCGACTAATTTGTATTCAGTGTAGACACATACATAGTCTAATAAAATCCATTGCTGCTGTGAACACATACAAGATTGAAACAGATACTCTGCCAAACCCCGTAGATTTAATATGGCTCAGGTGTGAATCTGCATAAGAGTGAAGATGTACCACTTTGTCCCTAGCAAACCAAATGTTACTCAATTCTCTTTACAGAACAGTTTTCTTTCTGAAATATGCTATCTGCTCATATTAGCAGCATTTTAATATTGTAGTTCTGCATGCAAGCACGCAACTCCCTCCAGACCAGGGTAATGCTGTGCCCAATTTGTATAGTTCTCTGTCTCGTTCATCCTGTGTCACCCCACTGTTTTCTTGCAGAGCATCACATGGAAGGTCAAAACTCCAGTCTAAGCCTCTCTAAGCAAGCTATAGCAAAATAGATTTACACAAATCCTTTAAGAATTCAGAAACATGGGCATCAGCTAAAGCTGACTTAGCCACAAAACCATTTCAAATCACAAGGTGGACAGTAGGATTGTCTAACCTCCCCTAACAGAAAGAGTGAAAGAAAATGTTTGAATGATTCAGATCTCGGTCTCAAATCAGTCCTAGCAGTTTAGTTAACTGAATGTAATTGGAGTAATTTAAAAATAATACACATTTTTATTTGCATTGTAAGAATCAGACTTAAGAAAAGAAGCAGGAGAGATGCAGAAAACAGTTTCTTCAGTACTTTAATGATGTCCGTAGGCAATCAGTTCCCTTAATTGCTAATATTCTCAAAAGAATGTTTGGACTATCAGGAAAAACTTTACGGATAAATGTTTGCTGGTGTTGCCAGGATGTATTAACTTGAATCATTCAGGACTAAATAAAACCCAGAGTCCCTCTTGCTTGATCTAAATAAAACTCCCAAGTGCTCTGTCTCGTTCAACAGATTTATGTACTTGAGCAGATGCCTGATACTTTTACATCGGCAGCATTTCTTCCACTGATCCCGGCTTCTTTCAGTTTGACTGTTGTAGCTCTGGGATACAGACCACAGTAAACCAAACAATTAGAGAAATCATAATAACCAGTTCTCTTGAACGAGAGAAGGACATGACAACAACGTCATGAATCCGATCAAAACCTGTAGAGGTCTTGTAATTTACAAATCTGTATGTTCAAATGTGATGGGTGTTTGCGAATGGCTGAGCTTGTTAAATTGCCTTGGTTTGTACAAAACGCTAATTGTTTCAATTCTTTGTTTTTCCTTCCTTTAGAATGGCCACGTCTGTTGCTCAGTGGACCCACAGTGCCTTCAGGAACTGTGACACCAACACCCATCTCTCACAAGCAGTTTCTGGTTAAAGAATTTTCCTTCACAAAAAAAAACCTTTAGACCAAAAATTGTACAAAATAAAAACTAAAATTAGATTGGTTTTGTCCATCTAAAGTGCAGATATGTGATGAACTCAGTTACCTGAATCAGACTGAAATTTATGGGACTCAAGACAAGCTCAGATGTGTAAACCTTTGTATGAGGTTAGGCCCAAATCTTCTGGCTATTTGTGTGACATCATACTGCAGAATATTTAGGTTAGTGTAAAGTGACACATTGTAATGCTGTACATAACGATGTCAAGATCCAAAATCAAGGAGGAGCTCTTACAGGGTCTTCCGAAGCTTTGAGAGTCCAGTACTTGATCAGATGCAGAGATTTTTACCTAATCATATTTGGATCTGCACAAATGTGTTTGCTCACTGCAGAATTTAGCAGATGTTTAAGTAAAAGGATGAAGCCTTCAGGAATAAAGAACCTAGCAGCTAAGATGTGGTATGTACAGTATGTGCGCTGGAAAAAAAAAAAAAGATAGAAGTTATTGTAAAACAAAAAAAAACCAAAAAAAAAAACCAAAAAAGAAAAACCGTGATGCACAGGCATGGCTTCTTAATGTTTTCTGATGGGAAAAGTCATCAATATTTCCTTGTTTTACTGCACTTACTATTATTTCTTGATTGAATTTGTTCAGTATAAGCTCGTTATTGTGCAAATTTAAATAAATATTTCTCTTACCTTAAGTTTCTGTTTGTGCCGCCTTTCCTTTTCAGGGATGTCATTTTCATGCGTGCTGTTACCATTCCTCCTTTGCCAGCATGCCTAGGCAGCTGGGCAATACAGGTGGAGTATCCCCAGTCTAGCTCCTCTACGTGTGGGAGCTTCTTCCCAGCACAGCCTCATGCCTATCAAGTCTTATCTTTGTTATTCTTCTGGGAATACATAAATAACTTCATAGATCTGAGCCACTACAGTGGATTGAACAGAAAATTGATGTGCCTAAAGATCAGACCCTACATGCCAGCAGGATGCTGTCTCCCAGAGTGGGTACAGACCATTTGTGTGTGACTTGCATCTGTTCAGATTTACAGGGGATCTTCTCCAGATTCCTCCTCTCTCCAGCTGCCCCGGGTTGGTTTGTCTTTCTATAAGCTCCACAGCTGTTTTAGTTGTTTGTGTAAAGTATCTTAATGCATGGGGATCACTTCAATATGCAAACCCTATTTTCACTACTATACTGTTGGGACAATAAATAAAAGAGGCTACGTGACCAAAGCTATGTTATTCTGGGAAAGAAATAGAGAATAAAACAGTGCTTACAAATTACAGGCTGAAAAGGCTGAATTGTAAGGAATGAATCATGAACAGTGGAGGCAAAACAGGAGAGGAAGAACTGCACAGGATGACTGTGTATTTTAAATACTGTTTTAGTAGTTGTGTTCCTTTCAAAGTACCTTGCTTCTCTTCGGCATCTCTCTTACCTGTTCAGTAGGTTGCCACGCAATCAGGACAGGCAAAACTTCCATGAATATTATCTCTGTGTAATATTAAGTTACAAGGGAAGTCCATGTATATGTTTTTTACAAAACAGAATTTCCTGCAAACAGATGCTACTTCACAGTGTTTCATGTACAGCAGGAGATCAAAGGAATGCCACGCAACTGCATGTATCTGGTAGGTATTTCCTTGAGCCCTAGTGTCTGTTGACTACGGAGTATTTTTGGAGTAGGGAATACAAGAGATGCTAGGCCACTGACTGCAAATAATACAAACAAGCCAAAGAAACTAAAAATCTGGAAAAAAAGCCACACCCTCCCCCCCAATTGATAGTCTCATTGGACCATTAAAGCTATGAAGATTTTCAGATCAAATAAACCTTTTCCCTCACCTAATCCATAAATAACAGATACTCAAGGGTTTTACTGTATTGTCCACTTCCTGGCAAGCTGCAATCAAAGTTTTTAAAGAAGAGTGGTAGCTTCTTGAAAAAGAAGCTGCTTTCTGTACCGTGTTTTCTTAACTGCTGGTAATTGTTAGGAGGTCATGTTTTCCTCTCAGATGCAGAGGCACATCTCCAGTGGATTTCAGAGGCAGCTGCGTGCCTATTTTTGAAAGAAGGTTTAGCAGAGGCTGTTACCATTGAAGAATTGCACTTCAATTTCATTCAAGAATTAGGTATAAGATAGACATAGGAAATGCATGAAGACCAGACATTTTTTTTTAAAAGAGCAAACATTTCTCAAGGGCAGAATCCTCAGGCTCTGTCAGACGCTGTAGAAAGCTCTGGAGGGAAGCAGTGGAGCTGGTGAAGAGAAGGGCAGATACCCACAGAATAGCTGTAAGCATCCCCATGAGTTATGGGTGAGGCAGGTGTCCCTGCGCCCTTAATCTGGTTCAGTGCATCCACTGACATCAGATTTAGACCTACAATAGATATGAGAACTGGAAGGAAAATTATCTCCAAATTTTTTCTCAATCCTTTCTCAAAAGCAGAGTAATACTGGTGTTTAATCCCAGCTTTTAATCAAAACTAAAACACTGTATAGATGAGAAACAAGCATCTCTCTCCTTTTGTTGCCTACCTTGACCTGAGCGTTGTAGGATCTTTCTGCTATTGTAGGTTCGCTAAGCATGGTGCAATACACTACAAAACACGCTAAAAAGTCAAGAGTTGAGACATAACATAATAGCTAAACCTTGAATCAAATCCTTGGAGAGACAGTTAATGTTACATGTATGTAAAGAGCAGGAGTCATACTGCTGAACAAAGCTGGAATCCTCTGCTAAATAAAAAATGAGAATGGGCTGACTGAATATTATCTAATTTATCAACGTTCAAGGTTACTAATCAGTTGGGAGTTCTTCTAAAGGTCGGCAAACTCCAATGAGACATCTCAGTGACCCTCATTTTCATTCCCTTTCGCCCCCTCTTCCCCATCTTCCTCCTGTTCAGTCAAGCCAGTAATTAGTAGCTCATGTTTTTAATTTTCCTTGAAAAGTAAATTTAAATATTATTAAAAATTGATGTCTAATTTCCAGACCTAAATTATCTGTCAGATGATATAGTCCATAAAAAAAAATTATATTTCTGAATGATGCAGGTACGTTGTGCTCTCTTACTGGCCTTTCATTATTGATGCACTGTTTGCAGTGTTTGCAGTACCAGAATTCAATAACTTCCATAAAGGAATTGTCACCTCTCTGCAGAGTAATTGCCTTAAGTTAATAGCCCTACAGATAGAAAGGCAGAGACATCTTCAGTTACAATGCTGAATTCAATGCTATCGTGAAACAAGTTGACAAAAAGAAGCAGTGTTGTAAACTGTTGAAAAGGGAGCTAACTGTGCAGCTGCAAATTTCTGGTACTCACAAATTTACCATGAGCAAGAGCAGGGGCTGCCTCAGTCCTCCTCATGGCTAAGGACATCTTTGCCTTCTATGAGAGCTTCACCTTTAGCAGCGCAGCTGGTGAAATACGGTGTGGTGGGTTGATCCTGGCTGGAGGCCAGGTGCCCACCAAAGCTGCTCTATCACTCATTAAGGCATAGCTGAAATACTAGCCATTCCTTTTTTCTAGGATGCCTAAAAGTGGGTATTTATGCAGGGAGTGCTGTAAAACTGCCCTCCTTCAGTGCCAGCACAGACTCTTGCCATTAACAGCGTTGGGCTACAGCAGATTCACCCTGGGACACCTCAGAGAAGTACAACCTCATGAGTCACAGAGCCCAGGTTTCACATTGTGCTGACTTCAAATGCAGGATGTGTATGGGGTGATATCTCCTTGTCCACAGACATGGTGAGTCTCACCTTGAATGGGTCACCTGTGTCCCTGCTGTGGAGAAGTGCTCAGCTGTGGGGTAGCTTGCATGGGCCAGACAGCACTTGTGGGTCTCCTCCAAAGTGGAGGAGGCTCCCACTGCAGCACAGCGATGGTGCTCAGCTCACATGGCCTCTCAACAGGCTGGGCTGCCTTGGTTTCTCAGGTAAAAATAGCAGTAGCTTTAAACTAGGGCTCAGCTAGTTATTTTTTAATAGTGAAACTTACTTACAGGCAAATGCAGTTTAACTTGTCCCCAAACCAGTTAATAATTTAAGTTAAAAATCACCAGATAGCTTTTGCCAACTATATAAGGAAAACGTTTCAGAGTAATACCAGTAAGAAGACTAGAGCAGCTCTGGTACCTCTGGAGTGGGTGACCTGTGGAGAAGCATCTCTTCTTCCGTGCACGGTAAAGCCCGCTGCAGTCGTGTCTTCTGCCCAAGTCACAGCCGTATGCACCAAGTCACAATCCTGGCCATCTCTTCTGTTGCTATTTTAATTTCTAATTAAAAATTTAAAACTTCTTGTTGCTTTAGCGTAGTGGCCAAATCTCTGTCCTGGGCGAAAAGAGAAAGTGTACCAATGGACTTCGGAGTAAGAAGAAGCATTTTAGAGAGGGCCTGAAAAGAAAAAGACAGTATTGCAAACCCCATTTCTCGGATTTCCATGGCTGTTCATCAGCCATGTGAACGGCCACCAGCATGTCAGTGTATTTCACTTTTTTGTTTTTGTCAGTATGGTGCTAATGCAAAATGATAAAAACAAAAAATCAATTGTTAAAATCAATTATTCATCCAGAGCTGCACTAATCAGTATTTTCTTACTGCCAGAGTTTACACTGTCTGTAAAATGCCAAATAGGCATTGTTTACTATAACAGGAGATTTGCAACCCTATATTCTACTAATCTGTTCATAGATTATTTCTATAACATGAAACTTTAACTACTACAAACCATAATAATCTATTGATCACGTAATATTTCATCCGTAAGAGAGCCAAACTCAATTACTATGCTTCATCTTAAAATCTGTTTTTATCAGTAATCTCATTTTACCATTTTAGACTTCAAATGTAACTCCCAGGATGTCATTTATGTATCAGCAGTATTGCTTGGAACTGTAAAATAAAATTGTTTAAGGGCTTATTTTAGGACTGAGTCATATTTGAAAACCAAAATAACTAGAACTGCATCACTACAGCTAGAGCATCCATCTAAATAGAACAACAGAAACAAAGTACTGACTCAAGTGCAATTTTGTGGCGAGGAGGGAGAGCAATTTCATTCAAGGGGAGGGGGGAACAAAACAGAAAAACAACCAACAATCCCACCAATGCTAACTCTGTCCTCTTCCTGCTTTTAATGACCACTCATCTGAACAAACAGATGGCTACCTTATTTCTTATAAGCTCTTCAGCTGATGCTGCTTTTGAATATTTCACTTGACTTGAGTGGGCCACAGTCCTTTCCTGTTTATTTTCTTAGCGCTTTCAGTGAAAATGTAAAAAAAAAATATGTTTAGGACCATCACAGCACAAACAGTTGTTGCCCAAGGTTGCGACTGCCCGCTTGGGAGGCAGGCAGCGCACCACAGCCAGACCATCCTGCCCCAGGCGGGCACCAGTCCGGCGGGTGGGGGAGCAGCACCGTAGCTATAGGTGTCTTTGTGCAGCTCTGCTCTTTTATTAGCTATGTGTAGTGGGGTCGTCCATAAGCTGGGAATGACCAGATGAGTTGGCTCCTCTTGCAACTTTGCAAGGCATAATAAACTCCTCTTTTGGCTGCCATACATGGAATTTGCAAGTCAAGCAGTTTGTCCGGGCAGAGGGATGCAGGCAGGGGTAGGACTGGGACTGCCCCAGGAGCTCCCATATCACCCCAACATGTGCAGCCCACAGCCCAGGAAAGCTAAGGTCTGCCTTC